GTAGTCACAATGACCTTCTTTTCTTTAGGATTATAAAACATACCACCTTTCATTTCTTTAGGGTATCCAATAAAAACACATACTTCTGTTTTAGGTTTCAAATTATCTGCCTTCTCTTTGACACATGTGTTGCACATTTCCAAACTCAAACATGTTTCAAACTAGGTTTGTGCCCAGTCCACAGTTGAATGGGTTTCACAGGAACAAACTTAGAAGGGACTAAGTTCAGAATGTAATTTGCAGTTTCTAATGCATATCCCAAAAGAATAAAGCAAATCAAAGTAACTCATCATTGATCTACTCTCATCATTGATCTAACCATTTCTAAAAAACAATGTTTCTTCTTTCTGCTACACCATTTTGTTGTGGCTTTCTAGGTGCAGACATTTGAGATGTAATTTCTTATTATGAAAGTAACTAATGAACTCATTAGAGAGGTATTTGTCATAGTGATCAGATCGCATTGACTTGATATATTTTTCATGTAGTTTCTCCATTTTTATGTTAAATTCATTAAATTTCTCAAAGCATTCAGACTTACAGTGCAACAAATAAATATATTCATATTTTGAGTATTCATCAATGAATGTCACGAAATACTCATACCCACCTCCCTCTTGAATGCTCATCAGGCCACACAAATCAGAATGAATACTATAATTTATCATTGACTCTATTCTCTTTTGTGGGGAAAGGTCTCTTAGTCATTTTTTTCTTGTAAAAAAGATTCACATGTTGGTAGTGCCTTCACTTTTAATTAAACCAACCATGAAATCCTATCTAGATTAATATGATATAGAAACTAGTGTCATAAACAAGTCTCATTAAAATCATAAGAATACGTTATTTTACTTGAAAGGTTAACATTATTCAGTTCTATGGTTTGTTGCAGTTCTAGAGAGACATTAATATTAAAAAGACCATCAATCAATGTACAATGTACTAGTAGAGACAAAATATTTATTATAGCTAATAACACATTCGTTAACAGAAAAATTAACATCATAATCATCTCTCAAAACTTTAGAAATTGAAATTAAACTTCTTCTAACATCAAGTGCATATAAAACGTCTTTTAAAATTAAAATTCTACCACTATCAAACAAAAAAAATAATATTTCCTAATGCTAAAATTGGAGCTGCTAAGCCATCCACTTGAAAAACACTAACTTCACCTCTAACCAGCTTGCTCATTTCTTGAAACTCATGCAAAGTAGTGTAGATATGATCAGTGGCTCATGAATCTTCACATCATGAAGTGTTAGAAACAGTAGCTAAAAATATTTCAACGACAAGTGAAAGTGAGTTATCTGAATTGTTTTTCTTCTTAGCTAAGAACTCTGGACAATGCACCTTCCAATGACCTGGCATCTTGCAATGAAAACACTTGCCCTTAGGCTTTTTCACGCCTCCAGTTGGAGGTGCAATTGCCTTAGTTTTGTGAGAATTTTTCTTCTTCTGTCCACCTTTCGGTTTAGAAGTAGAACCTTTTGGAATATACAGTGCCATAGATGGTGTTGGTTTTTTGACAATTGTCGCTGACACCTGTAGCTCATTCAAGAATTGTGCCAAAGATAGACTCATCTTATTCATTTTCACGACCCAAAAATGGACGTGATGACACTCGTCTTATCCCACCAACACAAGTCAGCCTAAAACTCAACCATTACAATAAAATGAGGAAATTTTATAATCAACTCAAAAATACCCCCAAAATCTGGTTGTCACGTATACAAGCCTCTAAAGTATTACAATTGAATCAAAAGAAAAAAACACAAGTCTCAAATGACGTTGTTTCTAGAATAGAACAAGATCATAAATAGGAGAAAGAAGGTCCAGTGAGATGACAAACAACTGCCTCACAAATCTCTAAGAAGCCTCGGGAAAGAAGAGAATGGCAAGTACCACAAAAATCCAGGCTTGTTACCTAAAAAAACTGTAGAAGCAAGGGGTGAGTACCAATTCACACGGTACTCAGCAAGTAAGCTCCTAAACACAAGCTAAGGGAATAGAATACGGGTACTCCTTACCACCCCAACCGAACCTCCACAACTACAACATGCATAAAACCAGCCCAACCTAACAGTTCACAATTTACATAGCACACAGCTCAACATCAACACTCTAACAATTACATATCCTCAACAACAACCTCAATAATTCATCAATCACAAGTTCCACAACAAAGCACTCACAAGATCAGCAACACACATGATCAAGTTCATCAATGATAAAAATGTGCAATGCAATGAAATGAAATGAAATATCAAGTATAGTGATACATGTCTGACCTAACGATACACACTCGTTGTCTCTCAATCCGGGACCCATGGGGGACATATATGTCCACGCATCCATCGCGGCATGCGATACGACCCTCGATATGTAGTATTCATCGCGATGCGCGATACATCCCTCGATATATAGTATCCATCACGGCACGCGATACGTCTCTCGAAATGGTACATCCTCTTATCACATAACACTTATCACAACCATATCTCAGAACCAATGCAAATGACATGTTCACACAAATAATGAGGAGATGACCATTTTCATAATAAGGCAGAATTCACAACAATGCAACTGTGATACAACATCAACAATTAAGCAATAAGCCTTCAAATCATTCTCAAACATCACACACCAACAATTTCTCACATTACCTTTTTATTACCCGTTTTCCATCATTAATATTATTCGACATGGACAAGTCCACCCATCACCAATTCTCATTACTCCCAAACACATATGACAAGGAAATACACGAATTTCATACACTTAACAAGGGCTTAGAAATCCACTTGCCTCAAATAGTCGAACAATCACTCCGAGACTTGAGCCTTCCTTTTTCGTTGGACTTCCAACTCAAAGCAATCTATTCACATTAACAATCACAATAAGATTTCGAACCTAACAAAACTCAAATTACTATAAGTCTAGCCTAAACCCAAAAACTCACTCAATTTATAATCAAGTTTAACATGTCAATTCTCATATTTCCAAATTTCAAGTCTAAGGTTAAGTCTCCATTTTGAAAAGTAATTCTCAAATCTTAAGACTAATGCAAAAATACAAACTGGCCAAATATCAAAAGTCATCAACTAACACCTATTTATCAAAATTTTCCAGTGATTACACCCATCATTACACCATCATTATTATCCAAATTTCTTGACCACCAAATCCTACATACCACCACCCCCTAATTTTGAAACAGAGAAAATCATTAATACCACCCCACCAACTTATAAAGGAAAATCAATAGCAATTACGTTGTCCTTCAAAAAGTAAACAATTTTTCCCTTAGAATAATGGCGTCTCACATGTGGTACAATTTTCTTATAAAATTTGAGAGATAACAAGGCATCTCAAGATGAAAGCCGATTCCAAACTTTCCAATTCTTATCCAAATAAATTAATATAATAGTAATAGGAGCTATGCATACCTATCTAATTATCAAAATAGTTTGTATCATGGAATCTTTTCATCCGAAGAGTAACAACATTTTAAGAATTGAAGTTCTTACCTGTAATGTAGACGCGCAATAGTTCAAACCTACTGTAACGCCTAGGGTAGTTTCTGATTTCTTTTCTTTGTTTTTTTTCTTTGAATAATATTTATAAATTAAAAGTAATAAATTTCACTAGCTTATTTTAATATATATGAGACAAATGGTATAGGGTCTTAAATAAATGATCACTTTAGCCTATTAACTATCGATTAAGTCAATTATCTACAATTACCCATCAATTAATTAACTCTAGTTAAACGAATATTTAAAATTTCCAAAAATGACCTTCCGATTCATTACATTGTCCATCACTAAAAATCATGTTTGTCCTCGAACACAAGGAAGAAGAAGGAAATATAACAAGCGTTATCAAAAGTTTAGTTATTGACCTACCAGTCGGTGTTCATCTTTCCAAGTGAGTTCCACCTTAAGACCATTCCATCAAGATCAGCTACTAAGAATTGAACTTTTAAATAAAACTTTTGAAGATCTATAAATCAAGAGTGATTATCAAGACACAAACTAACTCATGAATCCAATCTAAACGGAAACCTATTGGACCTTAACACAACCATCATGACGAATCATTTCTAACATAACCAAGATAACCTTCTGAATCAATATTTGCTACAACCAGAAGAGAGTCTGAATCAACCACCAGACACTCATAATGCACATACCATCACATATCTTATCACGATTCTCTTTTCACAACACAATCTTTTCACGAGCTTAAGTTATAAAAATATGATCTTTAGACATCGGGTACCCATCAAGGGAGAATCAAACTTATCTAACCCAAAGAAGGAAATGATCAAGTAACCACATAGAGAATGATACATCTAAGTATATTGAACCTCTAACAACACTGTCAAAATGCTAAATCAGTAGTTGTGATTGTAGAAAAACCTTAAGAACAACAAAACTAGATTCAATGGTCCCCACATTCAATCACACATAGCCAAAACGTGATGCCGATGATGAGATAAATCTTAAGTTTGTCGAACAATTGTAAATATTCATGATAGCTCTCCAATAAATTTTCATAAGCAAAATTGTGCATGTAGAACCACTGGAATACTTCAACTACTTTAAGAAAACACCAACTATGTCATATCTAAAACAACCAAGTCTTTCCAAGCATCCTATCCTACCAAGAGGACATCGCGGGATCGGTACACCCGATCCACCACTAGGGATCCACCCATAAATATAGAAACACATGTGAGCATATACAACGAATTGTACTCCAAATCATGTCCGAAACAAAGTAGGTGGGTCACATAAGAATGTACGGAACCAATATCGAATAACACAATATACTCCCTCCATAACGCCCATATCAAACATTTCCATTCATATGACTTCATATCTTTGATATTTAGTCACCCACAGTCAACTAGTCTGATCCCCATTATAATCTTACACATACTCAATTTATCAAACCCCACATATTCCTCACATTACTCCATTGAAGCTAACACTCTTAATACCAACAAACATCAGAACTACACAAGTCATTTACCTTACTCTCAAACTGTCACTAGTACCAAAGTCTTCTTAGCAAACACATTGTAGCCTCTAAAAATTCCAAAATATGGCTCTCTCTTTCCATTTAAGCATTACATGACAAATATGAGTCACACCCAAGACTGATAGCACTAATTTCAAATCTAAAATACTTTCCCATCGAGGTACGAGAATTGAATCATACCCAATGTCAATTTCACGCGAGCTTTCACATACCATTTTTCAACTACCATTCATACCATCATGTACCTCATACCAAAACTCAAAGAAATCCCTGGTCACTCCAATAATTCTGTATACTATAAGTTGATAACCTTTATTTACCATCTAAGGTTTATGTAACGCATCACAACGTTCTGTCCATCAATAGAGTAGTATTAATCCAACTCGAAAATCTTAATAACTATGCAGAACTATATCTCATCATGTACAACATTCATAAGTCATCTATCAAAATTTGAGAAATCTAACCCCACATAAGACACTAAAATTTTCATATCTCGCTGTTTGTCACCCATATCAAAACCAAACCTTTAGAAAAATCGATGATACATCCCTCATAAGTCGGTGCGGAACCAGTCCACATTGTATAGTTATATCTAAATTTAGAGGCAAAATTTCATACAACCTTATACTCTGAATCAAGGATATATACATGATGTCTTATTCCTTCACCTTTCTTAGATTCTTCCCATGATGCAAATTCTAAATACCTTGAACCCTTCAATATATCATACTCTTGTTCATTTCGCTAACTTGCTTACCAATCCTATCCTTTGACCAACAACCCATGATATTTTTACATTATCCTCTAAACTAAAATATTACGTGAAACCCCCCCTTAGGTATAACAATCAAAAGTAACCAAATTTACTACTGAAATTATTTCTAAGTCCTTCCAAATGCTTCATACTCAATGCAATCGATCATTTCTTACCTTACCAATTCATACCTTGACAAAACACACTACCACAAACCTAAATTTACCATAATAACTTGAATTTTGAATCCAACTGTGTAACTCAATCCCTTTATCTATCAACATTAGCTCATACCTTAAAGTTTTTTATGATTTCACGTATCTTAGCTTATCATTGATCGCCTCTCCATCGACCTTATCAAATCTATCGCAAAAAATTCAACCATACTCATTACCAAACTCAAAACCACAAAAAAAAATTATCATCACACTAGAGTTGAACGTCTGTACACTCATTTCTCAAATTTTATCCAATAGGTTTTAACCAATGTGATGAACCCGTGACACTGTTATCATAAGTAGAGCAAAATAGATGAAACCACGCGTCTCTGAACTTATTTTTTCTACTATGTGAAGATTTATCTTTTGTCCTTGCACTCAAAGTAAATATATTTGTTCTCGATCGCCTCTTTTCAAAGACTAAACTACATTACACTAATTCCTTCCATTTATGACTCTAGCTCCTTTCAATTTTATTCAAGTGGTGTCTCAGCACCTCCTATAACATTCCATGCAACCACGTTACTCATTGAATAGTAGCAAACCATAACATTAGATACTCGCAAGTT